GGCGTGTGCTAACAATGACTAGCAACAGCTTCGCGGTACGCATCCTGTAAGTTCGCGATGGACTCCCTGGATCAAATTCTGCTCCAGGTTTAACTGACAGAAGCTGACTAGCCGACAACTGCGACGCAACGACCATTCCGTAAGTTTGCAGGTTATCGCTCTTTTTTGCAGATGCAGACAGTCTGACTGATAAGCTTGCAGCCCAGGTCTCAACAGGACTTGTAGTAGTCCATCACAGCCGCCATCCAACGAACAGTATCGTGTGTAGCCCAAATCAGCTGCTCTTACGTTCGTGAAAGTTAACAGCCACAGTCGCCGCATGAGACGAGCCACAAACGCCACATCCTCGTTGTCCCAGCTCTTGTCACCCTCACGAAGCATCCTGGCTAAGGCGTTCCTTTGCCAGAGTATAGCATCCTTAAGAGCTGGAGGTAAGACCTCTGTGGTATGAACTACATGTGAAACATGCACTGACTTCGTACATCGACAATGCAGAGGGCTGTGGGCTCGACATTGATCTTACTTCGTATGCCCAGTCGTGGATGTGGATAGCGCGGGTAATCGGGCGTACGTTTATGAAAGAAGATACGCTTCTTAGACGATAATATTAATTGGTACAGATGTCCCAGTAAGATCGCGAATGGGATGCTCTTCCCATTGCCTCAAAGGCGGGCCGTATCCGCTGAAGAGCTCATGCGTATGTGTCAACTTGTCTTCGAGACCGAAGAAACAATTAACCACTTCTCTAGATCTCACCGATGAGCTCCTCGAAAGCAAGGCCAGGAGAGAGGACGACAGAAGGTCTTGCGCCAGTCGGTACGTGACACTCATGTTGGCCTTGTAGAGTTAGGGCGCTAAACTGAAATTTAGTGTGCGCGATGGGAACGACAGGAACGGGGGCGAAAGGAACGGGTGCGACAGAGACGGGTGCGACAGGAACATCGACGGGCCCAGCGTGTAGCCCTGGTAAGACTCCAATCCAGTAGTAGCTATAGGCCCAGCTAATTGAGTAGAAGTACCGGCGAAGTAGCCCTTCAGGGCGCTCACGACGGCCTCCAGTATAGGTACGTACAGCAAACAAAGGGCTGCTATCCGATAGCCGGAAAGCTAGCTGATGTGTTATTAGCATGAACGAGGTAGTTCACGACAGCCTCCACGACGGCTTCCAGGACAAGTACGTACAGCAAACAGACGACCCTTATGCGAACGCCGGTAAGCTAACTATCTGTAGCGACCTTGAGGGGACTCATAGAGGTAGGTGGGTATGCGAAGGTATAGCCTCAACGCCGCCGAATTGACTGATGGTAGCGACAGCGACGCGTTCGAGAGGAAAGCGATCGATGTAGGTGTGTATCGCGAACGGACGGCTGTTACTTGAGTGCCGGCAAGCTAACTAGCCGTAGCGACGACGAAGGGGCTCGATCGAGCTTCGGTGAGGTAGGTAGGTTCGACACGGGTTTGCTCGTAAGACAGCAGGCTGACTGATAGTAGCGAGGCGATGCGACTGGCAATAAGATCAGCTTCAGGTAGGCATGTACAGGGAGCGAAGGGCTTTCGCTTGAGTGCCGCGAGCTAATGAATGCTAGACTTGCCAACGCCAGGAGGACTTACGAAGAGGTGTGAGGTGTGTACGTCAAATGCAAGTACGTTGCTCGCAAGCCGGCAAGCTGACCGGTACCAGGGGGGACGCAGTCGAGGGCTTGTTCGGTGTGCGTATGTGCGGCGACCGCCACACACTTGCCTAGACGCCAGCAGACTAACTAATTGCAGCGGTACAGCTTCAGAGTCGGATTTGAGCTGCTGTTTGCTTGTATGCATGAGCTAGGTCCTTTGCGAGTCGGCGAACTGACTAGTGGCAGCAACGAGTCTTTGGATCTCTGATTTGCCGTAAGCTGGTAAGCTTGAAATCAATTCTTTGGCGCCGATCATGAACGCTGACGAGCAACAGTGGGACGAGGATGGAGATGGAGATGGAGATGGAGGATGGAGGGTGTATGTGGTACGTGAACCGCCACCATCATCGAGCCATCGACTAATATGATTGTCCAGCAGCGGAAGCACGATTTTGCTCGCTGAAAAATTCAGCATTTGTAGGTGGCGCCGCAATCGAGGTCTGAACCGTAACGCCTTGCTAACAAGACTGCAGTGTCGCTTTGCGATCCATGGCTCCGTCGGTCACAAGCCGTCGAGGACATGGTAAGTTTGATAATGTTCTGGGCAGAGTCGCATGCTAATAGATACGCAAGTAATCGTATTGTAATCCTCCCCGCTGTGGGTGGACGTTGGTGTGTGAGTATGCGATGATCCAAAGTTGCATTGCTGGAGGTGCTAACTTTGATCACAGTCGTGGGACGGTTGCCTTGCCGCTCCAAATTTTGAAAGCTTTGACCACCGCGCCGGAGGCAGCAGCGCCGAGGACCCGAGCCTCGGCCCGCCCGACGCCTGCACCTGTACGTTCTCCCATTGCCAGGCAACATGCACTTCTCCGTCGTACACCACTGACTTTGACACACAGCTGAACATGGGATTTTGACTCTTTTGGAAATACGTCTTTTTGTGTACTAGCAACGGACCTTGCTCTTTTTGAACTAGCTTGCTGTGGGATTGTTGGTTTGCTAATAAATTATGCCAAGGGCACCAGGTGGAGGGTACGATCCGGAGACTCTGGGCCCGCAGATTGTGGTGTTGCCCGATTGATTTCGGTGCCGCCAAGAGTCTCATGGATCATGCAGCAGCAGTACCCTCACTTGGTGGGCGGTCCACCTTGATCATGTTCCATCTGCTCGTGATGTCATGTCGAGTGAAGTTCGCATCGGTGTGCAAGCCAACCTAGGAGTAAACTCAATACCCTGGAGCCTACCTTGACGTTAGGACACCCACTTTGCAGATTTTCGTCTTGATGTAGTCCGCAGACCTGTTCAGTTTTACTTTTTTCGTGTATGAGGTGTGTGCACAATCGGGGTTTCCGACACGCGTCCGCGGTTCCTCGTACCAAGTTGCGTGGTCTCGCTACCAAGCTGCGCGACCCTCGCACGCACATACTTGAAACTCCTAGTCTTCTGCTATGCGCTTTCCATCTACTCCGTCCAGTCTCTCCACACCGATGCACTCAGCGTATCTGACTGCCCACCGTATCTAGGCACGACTCCCCAGACGCAAACGACTTTCGAACGGATCAGCAAGGCGCGCGACGGCGCCCGGGCGTGTCTCCCCAAGCCCCCACGATGTCCGCCTTCCTCCAGTTGCCCCGCGAGCTCCGCGACATGATCTACGAGGACTATTTTGCGACCGAAAACGGTTACTTCTACAATGCTGAGCACGACAAACTTACGCAGGCGGATAGCTCGCCCATACAATCGCTGTCGCTATCTCTTGCCTGTCGACAGGTCGCGTCTGAGGTCCGAGGCCTCGCCTTCCGCACCAACACGATTACATTCTCGACGTCACACTCGCAAGGAACACAGGAGGCGGCAGCTGTATTTCATGCCACTGCGCATGGAATTATGTACAGAAAGAAGATCATGATACGTTCGCTAGTATCTCAGCTTCTCACCCGCGATATGGCGCAGCTAGCGGCTGAAGCATATCCGCAATTTGCGCCTGTGTTCGACGGCTGGAGACCGCAAAGCGATATTCCTGTTCTTTACAAAAAGAAATTTCACTGTGGGGCCGCCCCGTCGGTCTGGATCGACTTTACACATCTTATTCTAGATTTGATGTCAAAGCATCCTTTGTTTGTCACAAGAGCTTCCGCTATACCTCGACTATGGGGTCCAGATGTCGACTGCCGCGCCACTGAAGTGAATGATGCATCACCGGAACCTTGGTCGATTCCTGATCCCGCAGAGCTGGACCGCCTAGCAAGCATCATCAACGTCGAACCCACACTGCCGCATTACGAACCGAACACGAGATACACATACTCTGCAGCCTCCACTGCGCTTCGCTTCCTTCGCATGCTGCCTGATACATTGCGTGGTGAGATACAGAGCATTACTCTCTTAGAAGACCACGCATCTGTCGCATCTGCAGAGTGCCACGGAAGGGGATTTATCGGCCTGTGTCAATCCAACCCAAAACTTCGCGTCAAACGTGTTGTCAATCTTTGGCAAAACGCGCTTCCAATCACTCCCGCAATGAAGTATAATTACATGTTGGCAAGCCAGTACGGCGAGTCGACCGTTCATCTCGCAGGCGATCGTTTGCTACCCAAACACGTTACCAAAGCCCTCGGGGCATGGGCATCGGAAACCATGGCCTTGCCGTCTCTTGGAATGCCGGAAGGATCTTATCGCCTTGTCTTCGATGGCGAGCCAACTTTACAGCATAGTTCCGACGTATTCAAAGTATTGCAGAGAGACATGGCTTGGCAATCTGCCCTCGACGAGGCCTACTCTCGTGGCTTGTTGCCTACACCCTCTTGGCTGGAGCGACGGCTTCGTGTAGGATACCTTTACGAAGGGCTTCCAGATTTCGTCCGAAAACTATCAGACGAAAATTCACCTCTGACTTGCAATTTCAATCCCGCTTCACCACTTGATGTCGCCGAACTGTTAGAAGAGCGTCGTGCATGGACCGTGCTGGATTGGACGAAGAATTGGGACACGCACGAGCCGCGCGAATATCAGACAGAGGCGCCATTGGCAGAATGGCATATCCTTCGTTATCAACGCGTTTTTGACTAGATATCTTCATGTTATATCTGGCGGTTGAACTCTGATAGTCATGGGCACACAGGTATGGTGGGTTATGCGGCACGATTGTCCAGTAGTTGAGATTTATAATTCATGAAATCACCGTCATTCTACTTGCAGGATTTTACTGTCTCCCTTTGCGCCTGATCATAATTTCACCGCGAGCCCCATTTGCGCTAATCTCCGCATCTGAACGCACGGAGTCCTTCGTCAGAACTGTTCCAGAAGTCGCATCGGTGGGAACAATGACAGCGCGGTGGTCTACGTTTTAAGTTAGAGAAATCACAGGTCACAGAGCAATATTACTCACAGTTGCTCGACGGGAGTCGAAATGATCGTTTCGATCTTGGACGAGAAGTCGTGACGAACCCCCCACTTCAGACTCCTCCAAATGGGCTCCCAATGAGCACGGGTAATGTGCTTGACATGGCCGGTGAATGTGACATGCGGGATAAGACGAGTGTCCGATTTTGCCGCCGTGTACTTCGCATACAGCAACGTGAAGAACCAGTCAACGAATTCAGCTTGGCAAGAAACCTCGTACAGAGGGTACGTAGACCACGGGTCAGCCCACTCTCTGTGACCGTGATCAGAGCGACCGGTGATAAAACCAAACTCCAGGAACTGGAGTTTGTCCAAGCCCATGAGCATCTCCAGCGCTAGTGGACCCAGTCGGGGTGTGGTTATCGGGGCGAAACCGATGGTCTTGGTGCTTCCGTATCCCAACAGCCGGAAGTACTCTAAGTTGGACATCTTTAGAGATATACGGCGAAGGCTGTTGAATGGGAGGATCTGAATCCTTGGGATGGTCTGGATAATGTCACGTCCGTAGTAGTAGTGCTTCGTGGTAGATTGCCACGTAGTCTGCTGAAGCTCGATACCGAATGCCTTACTGACCAACAACAAAGGTTTCAAGCTGCCCTTTGGGTTGTATTTCAGGTGTTGCGAACATCGGGCGGAACGGCAGAATGCGCTTGCATATTCCATGGACGTTCCGCGGTTTCTGACATGCAATCCCGAAGGCCAAACGAGACGGGGATCCAAAAGATTCTGCGGACGTTCCTGGCAGGTTATAGGAGCGGACATGCTCCCTGCGTGCGGCTCGCCTTCAGACGACCTTAACAGCCTTATCGGCCTGTACTCAGACGCCTGCGGATCACGCTTGCGGGGCCACAAGACTGGCCCTACCACAGCTTCGAATACCATTTGGCGAAGCTCTGCCGGTAGGCGCATGAAGGGAAATTTCTGGCCGGAGAAATTGACGTAGTCCAACCAGAGTGCCGTCTTGCGTACAGTCGTGCCGTAGTATTGTCTCAACCACTGCCTAGCTGGTAGCCATGAACACCATATAGCACCGTAGCGGTGGATAAAGAGCTCTTTCTTGCCGTTGATCAGCTTCCATCGAACGCTGATATGGAAGGATGTGTGGTCCTTGTCGCTGTCCGGTACCACGAGCGTGAAGAATTCCACGGCATGTCTTTTGGGTGATCCGGGCATGATTCGAATCTGGTCCGTGTTACCAAAGAAGGTAAAGCATTGGGATCTCTCTTCGTGAATCATTCCACCGAGTGTGTAGAACGCTTTCGAAAGACTGCGGACGGACATCTAACCATGTTAGCTACTTTATTCTACTATATTCAAGGACTCTGGAGGTGGACCTACGGATTTGGTAGTTTTTTTGGGTTCTGGTCTCGAATCGTATGCTCCGGTGATGTCAAGGTCAAACACACTGGGCATCTTGAGTTCCTGGGGATACTCCTTCAACATCTGGAATCTTCCAACGGATGTATTCATCGTCCCTTACTCGAGTTTGCGCTGTCGAAGATAAAAAGATCTGGATGAAGGCGATGCTTAGGTGCTATCCGAAATGCCACAACAATGGTGCGATGTAGTCGGGGGCCCGCTTCATTAAATACGTCCCATGATCCAAGTACCCAGCTTTATTTCGGAATGAAGTAGTTGGTTTGTTCATGGAGTGGACCTCAGAACACATCGGTATCCCACTGGCGAGCCGAAATGAGCAGTACACCTGGGCACCGATCCCGAGATATGAAAAGAATCTGGTATTCGAGCTCTTCGTGACGTCGCCTAGGTCTCAGTACATACCTTCAACATCGTCGTCCATGTTTGACAGTCTGAAATGCAGGAGGATAAGCGCACCACCCACCCACCAACAGTGTGGACGTATCCAGTCTTCCGGCGGGGTAAGATCAATGTGGGGCTGCGCTAGAGGGAAATGCGAAGCTGTACCCTACCCGTCGAACCACTTGGGCAGGTTCATGCCCTTGCCCGGAATGATATCACGAAAGCTTTTTGTAACGAAGTGTCATAGTTGCACCGTGGTAGTAGCCGGTCATCGTAGGTTCCGAATGCAGACGGAACTCGACCTCAGGAGGTCAGGTGTAGCCTTTGAGATCGGGATGGAGGCAATCAATTGACTAATTCAAGGGTCTTACATTGACGTATAACCCAAAGGTTCCGATCGGACTCTAGCACGCGAGTTATGACATGTGCGCAAATGTTAATCCTGTGCGATGCGGCATCGCAGTACCATGGTCATCGCGACTGTACTTATGCGCGTTGCAAGGGCAAGGAAGTACGGCTCTGCATTGGGGAAGCGGTGGTGTTTTCCGAAGCACACGCATTGAGTAGTCTGCAATTACCGAAGAGTGATTTTTGACATCTCATCGCATCCATGTAGGAGATCGAGTTGCCATAGCTTCGCTTTTTTCGATAACGAATACTTTACAATCTCCTCAATGACAATGGCAGCTACAGCTCGGGAGCCCCTCGATCATGACGATCTTCTCAAAATCAGTACTGATGGAAGTTCGATTGGTAACGGAAAGGCCGAAGCTGCAGCTGGCGTCGGCGTGTTCTTTGGAGTATCAGATCCAAGGTGAGCAACAAGAAACTCACCTAGACCCTTTTTTCACTCCCTTGATCTCCTTCAACATTACGAAAAGCGACTGCGCACCCTGGAGTTCTGTTCGCTCATCTACCCCGACGCAGGAACATTGGCCGCCCGCTTGGCCTGGGGCCCCAGACCAATCAACGCGCCGAACTGTCCGCCATCCTCGACGCGCTCACGGCCGCTCCTCTAACTATGAACGTACTGATTCGTACCGATTCCAAGTACTGTAAGAATATTGTCGAAAAGTGGTATGACACATGGGAATACAGGAGTTGGCTAAAGCCAAAGGGTATAGAGCACTTGAACATGGATCTGATTGAGCGCATCATGGATTTAAAGAAAAGAAGATCAAGGAGGGATGCGATGACGGAGTTCTTTTGGGTCAAAGGACACGCTGGTGATCCCGGCAATGAGGCAGCCGATAAATTGGCTGAGGCAGGTGCAAGGTAGGTGTATATTCATGCTGCGCAATAGCGTGATGTTCGAGGAGCTCCTCGTGCATGCCCATCGACCTCAAACTGTGTTGACTGGAACGCAGGCGCGCATACTGGGAAAAGCACGGTCGATGGCCCATAGGTGACCGTAGTCTGCCACAGAACAGGCCTGGTGATGTGGATTTCGTCCTTGGTAAGAAGGTAGTCAGAAGGCGAGATGGCAAGGGCGAGGACCTTGTACCTCTGACACCAGAGGAGCTCGAGGCCCAGCTTGCAGCTCTGCGCGGATGGAAGGCCAAGCGAGAGCCAGTCGGCGATGGCAGGGTCGGCCAAGATAAGGTCAGCAAAAAGAAGGCGAAAAAGAAGACAAGACAGAACGGCAAATGATGGCCAGGAATGGGTTCGAGCACCTAAACCATGATATGTAGTTATAGACCACCTTCTCAAGGGTCACCAAGAAATGTAATGTCGCAAAGAGGCAACGTTTGCGATTGAATCAACACATCCGTGCGGTGTGTTAAACGTCGATCCCGAGGCACCCGTCCAATCGCGGACCGCGGAGTGCGGCATTGAGATGACTAGAAGTTGTGTGGCATTTGGCACCTGAGCATTGACTAAATTTCGGTAATTGAGCAACCACCAAGACAATGCATACTTCCATCTTGATAGTATATCGAAGAACGAGACACAAAGAATTCTTGCTATCCCTGGTGGCGGCCTAGAGCCCCTGGAAGAGGCAATCACAACGGCACCTTGGCAAGTGTGGAGGCTAAACTCAATGCGGCCGTGTTCCCCAACACCTCGCACTGGCTACATCCGCGTTCCTCCACGAGTATGTTATCGAACCCAAAACGGCTATGTTCGCAGGAAAATATTACATTTGTCTCCCGCGCTGCAATGCGCCACCCTCAATCTTCATATGAGAACTCATGATGCACAATCTTGTGAAATTCACCATCCTCGTCCCTAAACCGCCACCATTCACATGGACTCTCACACTCACACTTTGGCGGACTAACAATGTTGTTAGCACAAAGGAAGTACCCGCCCGGGCGGTGGCCACTTACTATGTCGAATCGGGTGTAGCTAGAATTTCTGCAACATCCGCTGCCATGTCGCCCTTCTTACCAGATGCCTTGATGTAGGCTTCGCCGCGCAACAAAGGATCCCATTTCTCATGGGCTGATCGCTTCACGTGCCCAGAAATGGTAACCTTCTCGATCCTTTTCAGCAGGTCGTAGCCCAGTGTCAAGATGATATTGACAAGCTCCTTTTGGCACGTCAGACCGTCGAGAGGTGTCCAACAATCCGTCCGATACTCCCAATAATCCCCCTCACCAGGCAGCGGCTGAAGAGACGGCTCGAAGATCTGGAACTGGAGGTTCAAGTGTTGCAAGGTATGTATACCTGCCAACATCTTCAAGCCGCCCTCAGCATCGCGACGTACGATACGACGATCGTCAAATTCATAGCCGACGAAATGCAAATACTCCTCGTTGGAGAGACTTAGCGATACACGCTGTAGTACCAGAGGGTCGCGAGGCGGGAACGAATGGCCTGGCAACTCTTGTCTCGTGCAGTATCTGCGAAGATAGTAGACGGTGTCATTCAGAACACGCAGCCGGTTGAAGCGCTTGATAGACTTACCCCATACAGCTTTTGCGACTTCTCGGCGGACTTCCCGATTGGCACGCATGAGATTCATCGCCGCTGCTTGTACATCTCGAGTAGGACCAAGGCCGACATGCGAATCTTCTGGTGATGTCTCGTTTTCGACCGAACGATCCGCACGCTTGAAGTGACGCTTCTTCCTCTGAACTTTGGCGAATGAGATCGGATACACCCCAGTGTTTATCCCATCAGTCCATGATTTCGCACTGAATTTAGCCACAGCGGCTTCGTGGCTTTGTTCGACATGGGCATGAAGTTCCGGGTCAGAGTGCGGCCAAATCTGCTCTCCGACCAAGAACTCGTATATCATCAGTCGGATCTCTATCGGCAGATCCATGAGCCGGAAAGGTATGCCTGTTTGATTCTGGTATTTCTCTAACGCCTTTTGCCTGGCTCCTTGTCCGCCGTAGTGGTGTCTCAACCAGACTCTAGCGGAAGTCCAGTATTCGGGATTGAAATGCGTCTTTGTTTCGTTCAATCTGGTGTCGGAGATATGTTCGCTAAGTTCTAGCTCCGAACTGTCGTGTATGGGCCCTCGTCGAATCCATAACGCATGTCTGGCATCACAATACGGGAAGTGGACTCTATAGAGCTGAAAGATACTGTTCTCGTCATCGTCAAGCTCTCCACTCGGCACTATGATGGCGCCCCTCATATTCGCTTCGCAAGTAGGGTTATGCGTCATCTCCTGGAATATAATATCCAAGAAGCTGTCAAGAATAGGGTCCTGAAGATGTCAATGATGTGATCTAGAACCCAGACAATGTGCGTACCTTCCATTGCCAAATTTTTGGACACATCGGCACGATATGTTCCATAACAATATCATATTTCCGGATGAGAGCGGAGAGGGTTTTGTCGTCCATTTCGTCATAGTACCTGCGTGATGATAATTCGAGCTCAAGCAAGGCTTCGCCATGACGGTCATGTAAAGTGCGGACCAAGGGTGAGTGACTCATGACTTCGACAAGATGTTGGCAAAGAGGGAGTAAGATCAAGGATGAGTGTGAAAAGAACGTACTTATATATGAAAGAGAAGGGCTGTGAAGTGAGACGGGTAATGAGGAGAGAGCGAATTGGAAGAAAATGGATCAGGGGTACGCCTCGGGGCCGAAGGTTTTGTGAGGTGTATGTCACGATTCTGCACGCAAGACTGGTGCGGCTGTGTCTACCCTGTTCCTTGCGAAAATCTAGATGAGAACTTCTCTACAGTCAACAAGTTGAGACGAGTACCAAATTGGAAATATACCTGGAATACTGTGTTGCTTTCATGCCTCGGACGGCTCAGCCCGTTATAGGTATGTCACAAACACGTGACGTTGGCAATGACAATGTGTTCGGTTACCCAAACGCGCTCCAGTTCACAGCTCTCAACTACGGGTGATCAAAGGTAGCGTCTGCAGTGATGGTGGTATCAAATGTAACACTTCCCGGAATCAGCGGGGCCGGTCTGTAAACTGGGTCAAAGCAGATCATTACATGCGACGCTATTAGCGACCGTCATATCGGGATGGGGAAACATTCTGCGATGAAGGTATCCGGCTAGACTCCATGTTGGTAGCTACAACTCTAACAGGCTCTTCACTTCCCTAACCATCAGTCGATCCTCGGCATCTTTCGCTTCAACCTTGCCGATCGTACCTGCAGCATCCATTACCTTCCAGGTGTCCCTGAGCTCACCCTGCATATCAGCGGCATACACTAACCAACCAATAGATATGATACCCATCTTCTGGTTCTCGCTCCATTGCTCTTCGGTGCCGATGTTTTCCAGCAGCGAAGCCAGAAGCTCGCCTTGCTCTGCTTCTGGGAGTTCGGTCTCCGAAGACGAAGGCGTAGACTGGTTTGCGCTGTGCTTCTTCATGCGCACTTGATGGTTCGAAGATGTCATGTTCATTGCTAGGCTGAGAGCCGAGGCTTTGAGCGCGGGATGTTTCTCGTCGAGGAGGGCGGTTGTCAGGATGGAGATCAGTGTGGACGAAAGCGGGGGAGAGAGGAGGTGTGGTATGAAGAGTGGCGATGAGAAGAGATTGCATGCGAGATGCAGTGTCGTAAGTCTAAGAGGGTAAGGCGCGGAATCGCCCAGCTTGTCAACGTGGTCCAGCAGATGGTGTATAGTGGCAGGTGTGCCAGTTGCTCCCTTGTGCTCCTCCGCAAAGAAGCCAGCCACGCGAACGTCGGTCAAGGCCACCCTGAGCAGATCTAGGGCCGTGAAGAGAAGCTCTGGCGGGAGTACTGAGGTACTGTTTCTCAGGAAGCTGGCGAACTGCGGCAGATCCCCTAGGGGTGCTTCTATGGCCCCAGATTGTTCGCGGGTCTGTATGAAAGATACAACTGACGACACAGCTGGCTCCTTTCCTGCATCTCCCATCTTCACGACCAGCTTTTCCAGTGGCGGCACCTTGGTGAACTTGACAGGCCTTTGCCTTTGCCGCAACAGCATGGGTGTGCTCTTCTCGAGATGTGGGTGCGCCGGGAACGCAGCGTTGACCAGCATCTCCACGTTATTCCGTAGCTGCCTCGGATCAGCTCCACTCCACTCGTCTCGCTTCTCGCCCTTGAGGTATGTTATGAATGTTGGGGTCGCGCGAACGTTCGGGTAGCGAGTGTTGATGGAGCGATCGGCGTGACTGAAGTCGATTTTGATGAAGACACATTTGGTGCCAGTCTCGGCAGCGAGGTCGTCGTACGGTTGGTACACCAACTTGCATGGCGCGCATGTGGAGCTCGTGAAGAAGATGATGGCGCAACGGTCATTCGCGAGGTCGAGAAGGCGGTCCACGTCCTTCAGCGTTGTTATGTTGTTGACCCTGCCCGTGTTCATTTCCAAAGCACTACCCCCAGAAGAGGCCCCGTTGGATGTACTTGCAGTCGACGCTTTCGTATGGGCTTGCGGTTGTACCGGCTGCGGTGTGGGCGCTTGGACGATGGGTCGCATAGCGGCGTCGATTTGCGGTTTGAGCATTTGTCCGAACGGCGTGTTCAGGACGGTCTGCGGGAGGGAAGTGATGTGGTCTGGTATTCCTTTGCCGACAAGGAACATGGCGAAGTCGTTGGAGAAGTTGTTACAGTTGTGCGCGAATAGATCGTATGACTGGATGGACTGTCAGCAGAGCCTGCGCAAAAGTGCTGAACGGAGCCGTACCTCGGCCGTGTATATTTCCTTCAGAGACTCGAGGTACTCTAGTATAACCTCCATAGGAAGCGCAGTTTGCCCCAGCTTGATGACCTCCATCGGCCGGCCATGGTGAGTGGTGCCCGCCCGGCATGTCTGCACGCCTGATCCGTAGTAGTATTCTATGCCACCGAGTACGATAGAGGTGTGATATACGGCATCAATCTGTTCGGAAGGATGTGTCAGCGGATGTATCGAGTGTCGGAAGATATATGGCCTACCTGAATGCCCAAGAATTGCCGCGACATGCTTCGCGCAAGACCCTGGATACCGTCAGTCCGAGGAGACTTTCAAGGGCGTCGCGAAAGCGCGCGCAAGTACATCTGTTCCCGCCACTTACCTGAGAAAGGTCATACACGTATAATTGAACGTCCATCTTTGAAGAGATTTTGTGATCAGCTTTGAGGGTGTTGTCGCGCTCGGTGCATGTCTGGAGGCATGGTGCGAGATTCGTAGGTACATGAGGAGGATGACGTAGAACATTCGGGAACGCTGACGAACGCCGAAGCGCGCCCGCAACATCACGCTAACACCTGACCTACGCGCTAAAGATCGCCACGCGTCGTTCGGGAGATGCGGCGTGCTCTTGTATCCGCGATCCTCTCTTGTTGCTTCCGTTGCACCTGCCCATATTTTATCAAATGGTACAATTGCGATAGTTGTAATGTTGTTCGCCAGAGTGCCTCGCGTGTTAGCGCAATACCTTAGTTATAGGGACAGGGCCCTGATGAGCCCTGGGACCACCTGAGGCCGATTCTTGAACTTGACACCCTATGGAACTTCACTACTTATTTCCAAAGAAGACCTAATATACTAACACTCCAGTTGGCAGCTTAGCCGTTTCGCCTGTGCATCCACCTTCACCGTTCGACATCCATCAACATGCAGTGGTCAGACACTCCCAGCGTAGGACCTCGACGTATGCGCACCGACGACGTCAACAGACTAGCACGCGTTCTGTTCCCCAGGCCTGCTCGAGAAGAGGTTAAGAAAGTCATCGCGCAGACAACTAATGCGCAGTTGCAATCTCCATTCTTTAGGCTCCCAGCCGAGATTAGAAATGTGATCTACGGATATTACACGGCCGTGGACAAAGGCCTTTTCTACCACTTTGCAAGCAACACGTTGCGCACCGAGAGCGGGCAGATTCCAGATCATGCCTTCGCCTATACCTGCCGTTCAGCCTACTACGAGACACGAGACAACTCGCTCAGAATCAACAGGGTTACTTTCACGACGGTCGAGGATGAGGACATTCGTCGGAGCGCGGCACTATTCAACGACATGATGCTCGAGTTGGATCGTCACAGAAGCGATGTAGTCCACTCATACGCATCTCATCCTGCTTGTGCTGAAACCGTCAAAACAGAACTGCATCTGTGTACGGGCAAGATACCGAAGGGCTTCTACGACAATTGGTTCAAGCCGGAACTTCGGACTGCTGTATGTGCGCATGCTTGGCCGAATTCAGCATATGGCGAAGCACGCTCGGTTGAACGCGATCTAATCCACGGCATGATGCGAGCATTGACACGTGTATGGGACTACGACACAATCAGACAAGCAAATCGGAAGTCTCGATATCGTTGGGGATGTCAGAGTCACACCTTTCAACATGCGTGGGAGGAATACGAACCGTGGTCTATCATTGGAGGTCAGGCGATTCCGGACATGGAGTTTACGCACCGGGAAGGATCACCGACAGCGCCCAAAGGATATAACTCCTACTCAGCCGCCTCTGCCGCCATCAATTTCGTTCGCTCTTTGCCCGAGGCATCACAAAATTGCCTTCGCAACGTCACGCTGGTGGAAGACAGCCGAGCTGCTGCTTTTCCAGAGTGCCATGCCAGAGGGCTAATTCCATACTGCCGCAAAAACAAAAACCTTCGCATCGAGCGTCGCGTGGACCTTTGGGATTGCATACTAGGTGGGGGGATTTCCTCTGTGGACGTTACCTCGGAGATCGGGCTCTGGACAGTTGAAGCTTTGGCTTTACCGGCGCTTGGCATGCCCAAGGGATCATTCCAATTTATATTGGAAGAGAACCTCCCGATCTCGCTTCGGGTGCAGCAACCTAGCAAAGTTTTCGATATCCTTTATCGTGACCTCGCTTGGCAGCGCGCGCTCGATGAAGCTTACAAGCGTGGATATTTGTCTACTCCATCGTGGATCGGCCGGAGAAGGTGCAAGGGGTATATTTATGACGATTTAGCCTTGGTCGTCGAGATGATGGTGCAGAACAAGCCTGACAGTCTGATACGTTGCAACCTCCCTATGGGGCCGCAATGGAATGTTGAGGATATGCTCGCAGCACATGAAGACTGGGATATAGCAAAGTGGCAACGTGAATGGAACACTCATGATCCGTTTCGGTGGATGGTGCAGTCTGACACCACAACGCGTTACGGCAAGGTTCGCCAACGCGTCGATAGACTTTACCCTTCTCATTCCTAACTACCTAGATATTAGCGCATATACTGATGCTTCACGATGGTCGACAAGGCTAAGACGTATAATTCATGCATGCTAGCTACTAGCATAGTAATAGGAAAGCTCAGGATAAATCTCAACTGCACATTACGTACTCTTTGCTTCGACCAGCCGAAGTCATCCGCTGAAGTATGGCGGCTTCTACCTTGAGACATGCCTTTGGTCAAAATCTGACCGGGCAAGGGCTCCGAGGAACTAAGGCCTGGCAGACACGTATAAATCAGCAGCTTCTTAGAACGAGACCAGCTTCATGTTATGATGATCTTGTCTGTCGGTCATCTGCTCAGTTCGAACGTGTTTAATTTGATAGCGAGTCGTAGCGTGCGCCAGTCACAGTCCAGAGGCAATGGCGTAGCTTGCCCTGGCCTTCTGCCGGTTCTCCGCCACTTTTCACTCAGCGGCCAAAGCAGTTGCGTGCGATTTTTGTCAGTTTCACGACAGTGGTAACGGTATATCACGTCTATTGAAGAGTCGAAATCACATCCGAAGAAAGTACATAGCGTTATATGGGACCATTGAATCATTGGAAATAGCACTGCATGCACTTCTATTCATAGTATAGTAAAGCAAGTTATTAGGTAGATATAGCAGGGATTTTACCCGCAGTCAGCGGGATAGGAAAGCGAGTTCGAGAGAGATAGAAAATCGGCGATGTCGTTATCTTACGAAGCTGCCCTCTCCACTAAGAGGCGATCGGAGGATATATTCTAGCCCTCTAACCATGTGACCAATTGTTACACCACAATAGCCAATTATAAGATACAATATCTTGACAATCACGAACTACACCGCATCCAAGCTTACAAGATGACGTTACCCCAATGCAGAAGGTGCCATGGAAGCAGCGGCGCCTCGGTCTGGAACTCCTCCGGCTCATGTGTTGCCCAGCCTTCCTCCCAGTCGCGGAGAGACGACCCTTGATTCTCCTTGAGCAGTCGTTCGACAGTGTAGAATCCAGCAGAATTGAGAGGGAAGTTCGTACGAACCGGCGAGCTGATGGGCGACAGCGTGCGAACCAGTTCAGGAAATTCTTCATACATGTACCCTGGGTTCATTCGCCAATACAACCAGGACGGTCTTGCTAGTACACCACGCATATAGCAGGCATCTAAGGCGTTTTGCCAGGTTGCATCGCGCTGAAGCGTTCTGAAAACTTGGGGTGTGTGTTCTGGAGTAGGATCGCCATCGAGTACCAACGTGAAGGAATCTTCGGGCATGCCTAGTTCAGACAGAACCATGGCTTCTGTTGTCCACGCACCCACTGCTTTAGATTTTTCATCAGCAGGGCATTGTTCGTCGTCCAATAATCCTTCCGTAAGAAAGTCGTCACGGCCGTACAAGAAGTCATGGATGCGGGATTCTGCGGCAGGAAACACTGTTTCCCAGAGATTGACCACGCGCTCAACTCGTATTTGCGGATGAGACTGACAGAGAGCAGTGTACCCTCTTCCGTGGCTTGCGGGGTCAGCGATGGACTGAGGGTCTTCTAGCAGCACGAGTTTCCTACTAGCTTCGCGAGTAGCTTTGGAAACTGAGTCGAGGAACCGAAGGCCGACTGTTGCTGCCGAGTAACTGTACTTTGCATTGGGCCAAGTATAATGTAGGCCGTTGCACACAAACGTGACCTTCTTTTGCAGTCGCTCAATTTCTGCAGCGTTCATGATACGCCAAGGCTCAAAGCAGGCGTTGTTCAATTCCATAACATCATCAATTTCGTAAGGCTCCAGCCAGACGTTGTCCAAGTCCATAGGATCATCAATCTCATACGGTCTCAGAAATTGAGACCCTGCTTTGGCTTTCGCAGCGCGGCCTGGATGTTGGGAAACGAGGATCAAGGTGAACGCCACGAAATCACGCCACATCGATGGCGCTTCGCCACAACCTACATCGCTCCTATCGAGTATACCAAGTTCGCCTTGAGAGCGCCAAAGATCAATCATCGGTGCGAATTGCGGATACTTGATCTTTACTGCACATGCAGTCTCCGAACTGAGAAGGTTCGGGGTCGATACATTGAGTAGCCATAATTTGCGTTTATTGATGCTTTGATAAGTGGCGTGAAGCAGACCGGCCTGCGCCTGAGTGGCGTCTGAATGAAATGTCGAGAAACGAAGTGTGTTGATACACAGCCCAAGTGCGCGTGTTTCGTTGGCAATCTGGCGGCACACAAGTACCATGGAAAGCTGAACGGTGTGGCCGTCTGCCTGCCGGGGTTTGTTCAATGCGAAAGCGTGTACGTATCCGCCGTCGGCGCTGAAGTAGTGACCGTAGACAAGATCGCGTAACTCGCGAGGCATTTGGAGAAGGGTCGGCATGATCTTGTAAATGAAGTCTGTGGTTGTATTAAGGGAACCTCCGTATGGGCAACTATCTGGAAGGTCAGCTACATGCTCAGCCCGAGGCCGCCAGAGATTTTGAGCACACTTACAGTCTTGTGTGAGCTGACTCTGAAGCTTGGTCGCAGGCTTGCCGTCGCATGTGCAGATCGGTCAAAGCTGAGTAGAATTCTGGGGTTTGGCGCCGTTCAAGCCAAAGCTTTTGTGAGGCGCATGGGTGGCGATGGGGGAGTCGCAGTTGAGGAGGAAAAATTGGGCGACTCTTTGGTGCGATAGCTTCCAAGGTTGCAAAGCGATTCGTGGTACAGGGCGCTTTAGCTTCCCCAAGCCTCTGGAAACCGGGACAGCATCGTAATATGGAGCTCGCAACAACTACAGTGGTATCAAAGCCGTCTCGTCACATCAAATCTCAATGACCAGTACGAACCAGGACCAGACCGCAGACTGAGTCAAAGGCGCACTCTATTCGTCTCGTCACATCAAGATGAGAAAGCACCTAGAACGAGTTTTTGGTGAGCGTGGATCACCCCATTACTTTGTTCTCCTTCCATCGAGCTGTTGTTGCATGTGACGGTATATGCTACGTTGGTTTAAAAATGGGTGCAGGGCCCTCGCGGCCTGCTCACGATTGGATGGGTCGAGTGAACGAGGTTTTGCTACGATTTGAAGCTGGGTCGCAGCATGGAGACTGCAGGTGCGGGGAGTGGCCAAAGCGCGCGGGTGACCCGCCACTCCCGAGGTCCCGATAGAAAGGACGCCACCACACCGCCACTCCTCCACCGATGAGATCCGGTGTGCATTAACATCTGTTCTTGATACCTAGAATAGTGCTCATTATCGTACCCTCAAGATATGTCCGACGCGTGGTCCGTCCATGCCCCATACTGGCAGAGCCCCAATCATGCTAGTCAATTAGTGATCGACAAAACTCGTGCTTCTTGTGGTCTTGTACCGCCGAGGCCTGCACAAGTAAGCTGCTGCGCGGGTAGTCCGTCTATCGAACCCGGCTGATACAAGAAGCAGGAAAGAATTGAAAGCATGCCGGATGCCTTGCCTATACTAAGACTCATACTGCACGAAGAGCGTCGGAATAATTTCAACTTCTTCACGAATACATATGGCCTTCGAATTGAGCGAAGCGCAGGTCTTCGACCTATTATGCATGCCAGCCGTATCGTTCAGAACTTTACCATCTCCAGAAAAAAGCCAGACGGGAGAGTGGTCACCCGTGCCATAGTTACGCGATGGAAGTCAATCAACGGCGAACCGGAGCTCGATATTGAAACTCCTGGAACGACTGAGTGGATTTGCATACCTGCCAGATCATGGCTAACAAAGGAATATGGCGGCGAAACTGCAGACCGGGGTCTACTGGATGAGTGGTTCGAGCGTTACCACAAGTCATTTCAATTCTTGAACCTCCCGAGTGAATTGCGTTCCATGGTATTCGAAGTATCAATAGGACCAGTATTATGGCCTGACCATAGAGCTTCCGAAGCCTCGGCAATACCTCAGGATGATGGCCGCTGTACAGATGGTGCAGCACCTGCACTTCAGCATGATCTGAAAGATACACCACTTCACGCATCTTCAGAAGAGGCAGAAACCGTCGTCGATACTTGGCCCAGGGGTATGTCACTCGATGCGCCAAGATTGAGAGACAAAGTGTCCTGTTATCATCCGCTATCAAGTCGTCCTTATGGATCGACCCGAGAAGCTACACATTGGATCAAGAACATGTTGCTCGTTAGCAAGGCTTTTAGTTCGGAAGCCCAGAAGACGATCTGGGAAAGTACAAACAAAAGATTTGGCAATATCGCAACCCTTACGAGGACGATTCCACACCTGAAACCCATCCCATTCAACGCACTCCGGCGAATATCGCTCACATTCAGCGATCGCGGATACCTCCGTCTGCTCGGATATAAGACTATGGGCGATTTAGCTTTCACGCCACTTCCGGCGGAAAAATCTAACAGCTTGAGGGCCTTAACGGATATCGAAAGTATCGACGATCTCGACCTCCACTTTCAGGCCTCTTTACCCTTCAGAGTCTTCGGCGATCGACTGCACCCTGTTACGCAGTTCAAGCCTGATCCTTTTGTTATCCCGTGCCAGAAGAAGTGGATTGAGTGGTTTCTCACACTGCTGTACGAGAGATTTACCGAGACATATACAAATAACAGGAATGTGCCGATGGTCTCTATTAAAGGAGATGTTAAGTACAGCACACGATTGGAGTGGGAGCCAATATGGAGAGAGTTCAAGCATGGAGTGCGGCGAGACTTTGCCGAGAAGGCCGCGGAGATCAAGTCTACCCCCGCTGCTCAGTTGTAAGTGGAGTCACTACAGTCTTTCCCTCGAACTGATCTTTGCTTAGCCCACCGATCTGCTCCTGCGAAAGTCCATGTGCTTGGGTGGAAGCCGTGCAACCAAACCCCGATTGTGGATGCGAAGTCGTTGCTGAGTTCGACTGCCGAGATTAGTCGAGGATGGAGGTAGAGCTTATACATTGTTCGGAATAAAACTGAGCACGACGCCACCACATACAAAGTGTGAAGTCCTTGGAGCGATCTTTCTCGAATGATGAAAAGCAAAGTAATAAATCGCAGCTGTTCAGACTGTCAATTGCAACACTGCCATACAGCTCCACATGTATTTACGGCAATTGCGAGTGGTGACCGCGCCCAGTGGTCATCTGCTGTTCGTCTGCAGCTGTTACCTCTATGCTGGTGGCCCCAGCTTCAGACTACCTTTGCGCATGGGTGTGGCCCAAGTTGTGGAAGTGAATTGTACAAGTGATGAGTGATTCGTGTCTCTCTATTCTAGGTCCTCAGCCAACAAAGCGTGCTTAATGCTCATACGGCATCCAACCACCTTTTCTCTATTGACTACACTATGCCTTCTGGCGTACGTCTACCTCCTCGACAAGCTCGACTAGGTCTGGCGTCCGACCCGGCAGTCATTATGCCATATCGAACATGCGTAGCGATGAGAAGCAGGAGCCTTTATCGTGAATGCTCGCAGATCTCGCAGCTCATCTGGCGAAACGCGAGACGAGAGAGCAGCTAGACAAAGCCAAGCTGTATCGAACGTCCGCAAAACATGTAAGGCTTGCTTTCAATTGCCCTCCTTTCCCGTCTGGATCACTCCTTTATCCCTTGCCCATTTCAGCAGTCCCAGCTAATAACCATAGTACTGTATCGAGACACCTCCATTGTGGTCGTTCGGGTCCCGGGATCCTCACACCCTTCCTTTACGCCTTAACGCGTGGATGCATATACGAGTCGCGTCGATTTGAGGCCGCACAGAGGCGAACCCTACGAACCATAGCAGGCCCAAGCCACTTGTGCAGCCATATGTCTGAGATAGCGGCGGCATTCGAGTGGAAGCCACTACGGAGGTAGAAGACTGGCACGCGATCGCGTCGGTGGGCGGTCCGCAGACCTCGGAGGTGTCTACGATCGGGGCCGGGCCGACGTCAACCCAGCGATGGTAGGTGAGTTGTGTGTGGGCGTCAGGGCAAAGAGAACTAGGAGTTGTTTAGCGATAGCCGATGGAACCCCACCCGCGCAGGATGGGCATGAAGTATCTAAAGGTAATATGTACGATGTGATGGAACATTACTTTAATGAGCGAAATTGAGGCGTGATGTAGCACGACGGCGAAGGGCGGTGTTGGTGCAGCCCGTACCATCATATCGTAAAGCCGAGCACATGACGGCGTCGTGCCCTGCAAAGGTTCATGGGGCCCCGGGGGTGTTCGGATAACGCGCTAGTACATGAGAATGCGGATGACGCGGCTTACTAAGGTTCCATTGACAATCACGTGTTCATCTTACCGAGTTCCCGAGGTCGGGGCAATCTGCAACCATCCCAAGCTAGAACCATCGCTCCATATCTACCCGCCGCTGCGCTCGCAAGGACAACCTCATTTCATGCAGTAGTAGTCATGCAATGCGTCCACTGGTACTGTGATAACGCCGCATTGGAGATTTCCGAGCGGCACACGATGTCCGCAACTGTCCCGGAACCATCATACACGCAAATGTCTTTCCCCGACAAATTGTTCCACCGTCATGGCGTACTAGTCAGTATGGTCATGATATAATTCCGCTGCAGTCCACTGGTGTCTGCCCTGATTCTTTCTCGGCATAGTTCAGGCTCGAAATCTAGTGGTTCCTGATGTGTGATATTTAGAGATATAAAGTCTGCACTCCAAGTTGTGCCTTCTACACCATTCATACTTCCTATCACAGCTTCTTTCATCAAGGCAAGTCTTTATCCTGTTATCATGATGCTTCTCGTCATTCTAGAACAAACTAACACGAGGCAAAGACTTCTACACACTCTCATCGCATTGTCCATTGGCAGTGCACTCTGACATCCCTCACGAAGCCGATATATCTACTCAGCAAAACATGGCCGCACTCTCCAAGCTCAGGCGATCATCGCAATATCCGTTTCTTCCGGTACCCCGCGAAATCCGAGACATGATCTATGCATACACCTTGAGCAGCGAGGATGGTCTGGTCTACGACTGTGAAAACCACATCTTCAAGGATAGCGAAGGGGAAATTCCGGGTGGATCTTTCGAGTTGGCTTTCCCTGAGATTTCTCACGAGCTCGCATCCCCTCGCATTGAGCACAACACTCTTATCTTCACCTCGCAGTATATCAAGGGAAATTCACGGTCCGCGGATGCATACCACAGATACATGAGGTATATTGTTGAGCAGAAATCTCAGCTGCTTGATGGTCTAGCCCCCCTTCTCCTGACGCACGAAATGGCACAGATAGGAGCTGAGCACCATCCTGAGTTCAGGCCTGTACTCGGCTACTGGCTTCAGGGGAAGTCCCTATGCCCCGGGCATTGTAGAGATCTTTGGCCCAGTCAGTTCTACGGCGAAGCACCCTCTCTCAAAAGAGACTTCATCCATGACATGCTGGACATTCTGATACACAGTCCCAACTTCTCCAGCACGGACCTCCCTCTGTGTACAACATTGAACCATGACGAGTTCAGAAAGCTGGCTGCCATGAATCCTGATCCATGGGGCGTCTCAATACCCGCAGAATTACCTCCTCTATTCCAGGAATCCCGCGCAGACACCGCGTACATGAACTCCCGCGTTGAGTACACTTATTCCGCAGCAGCTTGCGCCATTCAGTTCATTCGCGGTCTTACTGAATACGAAAGGAAGAGTCTGAGGAAGATTGTTCTGGTTGAGAACCATGAGTCTGTATCACTTCCTCAGTGCCATGCTCGGGGTTTGATTCGGTACTGTCGTGAGTACGAGAAGCTCAGAATCGAACGTCGGGTTGGTTTGTTCGAATGCATTCTCAAGACCGGTGGCGAGTTCATCAACTCACAAGCCAAGATGAACTGGCAATGTGAAGCCAAATCGTCAGCGGCTACGAAAGCGATCAGCATCTGGATGTCGGAGGCCATGCTCCTACCTCGGCTTGGCATGCCCCATGGATCTTTCACGCTGGTCATAGATGGCGGCGCACCCTCGAGAATACCGACCATAGTTTTCGACCGCGTTCTCCACGATGCTGCTTATCAGTCTGCTATGGAATCAGACTATGCTACGGACTCGGCGGATGCTACGGAATCGGCGGATGCTACCGACTTGTCGTTCAATTTTCGTCACTCACGTTGGCGGTGGCTGCAACGACGAATTGACGTGAGATATTGCTCCGAATCTATACACGATGCGCTTCAGATCATCTCTAGTGGCCGGAATGATGCGTTGATTTCTTGCAACTTTCCTCTTAACATGGCTCCGTCAAACGTCCAGGTCCGGCACCAAACGTTCGAGGAATGGCGGTCACACAAGCCGCGTTGCTTCGAAACGCCATCTCATCTTCCTGCCTGGGGAATTTTGAAGCACAACAAAGTCATTCGGGAAATTGAGAGGTACTGAGGAGGTTGATCGGTAGCGAGCGCTGTCTCAGTTTTGCTTTTTTGTTCCTTTCTTCTAGTCATCAGACTAGATTATCTTGACCGGATTGGATGAGTATGGTTACGCTGGTTCTGTCGTCTCGTATGGTTTTGTTGAGACTAAACAGGTGAACTAGATGTATTTAGAGGTGTGACAATGGAATAATGTTGTGCTTGCATTATGTGCCCATTTTCGGATGTCATTTTGCAGGATGTCTTGAACTGCAGGGTTGTGATCACAGCCCTATCGTGCGACGTTGTGCATATCCCTTTGCAGGCCAATGAGGAAAAGGCGCATAAAAACACGCCCAAGCTTTTGATTGAGAACGTAGTCATAGTTTCCACTTTACGCTAAGGCCTTCTTTTCTGATAAAGCCTCTAGTTTTGGTCGGCAAACGCAAATAATGTTGTGAAGTGGTTTGTGTCAGCCGCTTTGACAGGTGACACACTATCTGCATGCTTTCGATAATCGATGAATAGGCGCAAAGATACGACTGCGAATAACATTGATCTTGTGGAGTCGCACCTCATGTGTGGTCAATCTTTGTCGTGGACGGTAGCACTAGATCGTTCCCGCTGTGTGCCCACAAGTTATTCACATGCGATTCAAACATAGCCGGATTGCTATCTAAAACAGCCATGAATATTAAGGTGGGCTGCATTGTAGTGCAAAAAGATATTGGGCGGAGACAGGAGACGTCTAGTCCGCAATCGCGGGGACGAAGCAAGCAAAGCGAAGGTGTGAGATACTTAGTACGATAGAATTGTCTAAGGAAGCTACTCTCTCTCCTCCGAGAGGCAATCAAAACATACGTCCACTCCTCTTACGCATGTGACCCGAAACCGCACCACAATGTGTACTGAAGTCACCATAATACAATGTAATTAACTTTGAACAAAGCTTTGTCGGTAAAATGCAAGGTTGAAATACGTCTTTGCGCCATAGCACGCAGGCTTTCGTTGTGTGATTCGGCCGGATCGACCTCTGCGTGATCTGTCGATGAACAGCCTGACTCTCATAACATGTATTTCTCCAGTCATCATCTCGCGCACGTCTAAACATTGCAGGCGGTCGCGCACTTGCAAATAGGAGGGCTGAGTATTGTCAGCTTCTGTGAAGAGGTCAAGCATCATATCGACTCACAGATCCTCAACAGAGATGTTCTGGTAACCCCTGTAAGATTCCTGCATCGCTGATGAATCTTTCTCGTTGACGCTGCCGTTCAAAATAGCTTCCCACCTCGCCTTCTGCTCATCGGTGACTAGACCCGATAGAATGACACGAGGGAAGTCCCTCATCTTGATCAAGAAATGCATGTAGAATGCCGTGAGAATCATCTCCACCAGGGTTTTCTGGCATGACAATCGGTTCAAATCTACACGGAAGTGACGGAATGGGTCCTCTCCTCTCCTGTCTCGTGACGTGATAGGACTTGCTGAGAAGTGGAACTCCAGTCGATAGAGGGAACGTGCACCGAGTAGGTGCTCGAGCGACCTGCACGGAAGCTTCCAGCATGGATTGAACGGATTTTCCTCATCGCTGGAGATATTGATGAGGTGAAAGTAATCCGCAAAGGTGAAATTGAGAATCACCTTGCGCAGGGCCGCAAGCGCGGGAGTCTCGAATGACAACCTTCGGCTGACTAGTTGAAGATCATGAAGGTGGTGGAACACTTTGGTTGTATCTTGCCACAGAAGACCTTGGGCAAGCTGGCGAGTTAGCCTACTGATCCCATGTAAGCGTTGTACATCGATCAGCTCAGCATCTCTTGGTCTAGCTGCGTAGGGAGTGAAGACCCGAAGCGAACTCTCGAGGTTTTGCGCATCTGGTGCCGTTATGCCTATGCTTCTGGGCCAAGGGACGAAGTGCATGGTTTGATCGGTGATGTTCTGCGATGCGTTCCAGATTCCAGGAGGGCCACCACCAGTACGAAGGTGAGGCGTAATGCGATCAGGGATTAGGAAGGACAGGATCATCAACTTCAACTCGGCCGGCAAGTCACACCAGCGCGTCGGTTGATCCGTAGACTGATCCGTCGGTTGACCTGTCGCTAAAGACATTAGAGGACAAATGATGCATCTCTTTAGGCTGAGATATACACACCGAATTGGCTTCCTTCAGTGCTGGATGACAAGGAGCTTACAGCTGCGGAGGTTTTCAGGCGTTTGTTTGGAGACATCCTACCTGGTCGAGGGGGTGTCTTTGAGTAAAAGGCCTTCTCTGGGTTGTCGAAGCAAAGGAAGTATTCGAGTTTCGTGAATCTTCGATGTACCTGTGCAACAGCGCCATATCATCCGTTCTTGTAGCAACTTATCGAAGCTCGTACATTGGTAATGAGGCGTCGACCTCCAATCTTTTTCATCATCGTTGTGATATCGCGGTAAGCTTGTTTCATTGATTCCTCTGCGGTCCATCTCACCGATGGCAACTCAATGGACGGATTTGGTGCGGGGATCAGAAGTCGCGACAGCCGGCGAACGGGAAAGCCGTGATGTTGTTGACCCTTGCCGTTGTTGGACGTTCCGCGACCTTTCCGAACTCAGGGTCACTCGCGGAAGCTTACTCCCGAGATCTTACCCCAGTCGGAGGGCACTGGTATACCGATATGCAGGCTTTCGCCGTTGATGTTTACACGTACGCATCTCGGGCACAAGGGACGACTCTTTCGGCCCGGTATGGCAGGAAGTTGAACGTGTATGAACATGCATATGCGACCCTTTGCGCGGGTAAGTGACAATTGCATCGTTATATGAGATCGCATTGCCACATCAACGAGGATCCGCGCGAACACTGCCGGAAGTTGGTTGTTTGTTGGGGCCCACCGAATGAGTAATGTCAATTCCAACGCCGTTGCAATGGTATGCGCTTGTTTGATACCTCCATATGATCTGAGTCCTTCTTTTTGCGGTCAATTCGGTCTTTGCAACACATAAACGTCACTTGCACCATTGAAGGGTTTATGGGGTAGTGGACGCACCCCACCTCAAATATTCTGAGTTGTAGATCCATTGTGACAGCTCCCTACCGCGGACTCCCAACAGCAAGGTCGGGACAGGGTGTAGTAGCGGTCCTTGGACATGTCACTCGCCTGCATGTCATGCGACGGTCTGCACTTTGAAAGGCGGAACATGCACTCTCCTTCCAATCTGCACGGGTGAAGTTACTAAGAACCATCGGAACACCACAACAGCAGTCACGAGTGGCACATTCTACCAAGGAAGAAATGCACAAACTTGTCTTTGATGATGTAACACGACGCAATGTTGCTGCAGAGCAGGCGAACATAACGCCGTCGGGTAACTCTAGATAGTAATCTCGAAGCAGACGGTCGATGAGGTATAAGCCTTGCGTTGACGTACATCCGGTGGGTGAGAGCTGTCATGTCATGATGTGAAGTGGCATCTCCACTTATCAGACATTCATGAGCTGATATTCCCCTGATAGCGTTTCGTCGAATGATAGAGCTAGCTTTCTCACCCCTAATAACACCCGGGTGGTACACGCTACGGAAACATCTCACCCGCAAATCTAACCCGCCATGAGAGACCCCGCAGTCGTCACCATTCAGGTGTCTCTCGCGTTGTTCGAGATGTAATCATTTGTTGTATACTCTGTGGTAGCGAAGGCAGCGGAGCCGTCCGGGACAATGTCATTGGCACCGGCTCGAACACAAAAATATCACGGGTCACTGCCGAAACCCTTCGATAGACAGCCCCCTCGGATGGCATTCGTGGTGCCGTAGATTGCCCACCTTCCCCGATCTTGGACATGCGCTTTCACCAAGGTCGTCGTCACATCTTCTTATAGATACAGCGAGCTCCAATCATTAGATTTTGTCTATACTTTTTGATGAGCCTACCGCCATGTCAACAGATTTGCGGTGTTTACAGTGTTTCTCTATCTTCCATCGCGACTACCCAAAACGCATATCATACACTATCTGGGATCAGGACGGGCATGACCATAACTCAGGTAGCGGTTCGAAAGAGCGCATGGATGGCCAAGTATACTTACTCACCACTCCTTACTGTAGCAATGGTCTGACATCGATAGGCAAACGCGATGGCATTCGACTACACCGGACTTCCAATCGAACTGCGGCTAAGGATACTCGAAGTTCTGATCGGAACAGCTATCTGGCCACGAGTGAAGCTTGATTGCCCTCGTTGCTATGCTGGCGGTGATAACAACAAGTCATGTGAAGCGTTACAAAGATCCCCATCATATCAGCCTTATCAGGACAGCGAAGACGTCGAGTACGATTCGGAAGGCGAAGAGATCCCAGAACTCATAAACATCGACGATTCCGACGGGTACACTCATATTGAACCATTAGAAGAGGCGCCTCGTGGCCTGGAAAGTCTCGCTATCCAAACCGCGGGCTGGCCCAAGGCCATCGGTGTAGATGTACCGTATGAGCTCACTTTGTGGTACCCCGGATGCCTCAAGCCCCATCGACTGGGAGCTCATATGCTTTCTACCGATGGCTTGTCAAAGAAAAGCTCACATTGGATGCGATCTCTGCTTTTAATCAGCCGGCAGTTCGGCTCTGATGTCCAGAAGATGATGTGGGAGTCCACCTTCAAGCGCTTCAGCAATCCCCAATCGTTGGCGGCGTCAATCCCTCTGCTTCAGTCCGTGAATACCACGACTGGCTTCAACACTCTTAGTCGAGTATCACTCAGCATGAGCAACAGCCGACTGTTTTGTCTTCTCGGGTTCAGAAGTAGTAGAGGCAGCGCATTCACGCCTTACAACTCATCGAAGGAAGCGAACTTGGATCTTTTGACCAATCTGAAACTCCAACATTTGCAATTTGACTTCCAGGTTCCAGTTCTCGGTCGGCGCGGTGGTCGTGAAGGCAACAGAGATCCTTGGCGCCACATTCGAGATGGAGGTCCCGTAAAAGCTTCATGTCAGCAGAAATTCGTAGATTTGTTCTTCTTGATGGCATACGACCGTCTCCGGAGTGTGCCGAAGGTGACCTTTTCTGGCTACATCCAAGACACTAACGTCAAAACGTGGGCGGGAATTTTGGCAGGGTCGCGAAAAAACAAACCTCTTTCTCATGATATGAGTCAGCAAATATCAATCATCATGTCGATGCCCACGGACAAGTTGTGAGTTCATCTCTGGTAAGTCGGTTATTGATACTAACTTCATACTAGCCCTCCCGAATGCGAGTGTTCGGGTCGAAAGTGCATCCGCGCGAAAATAGCTGAGGTACCGGGATGTACCGATGGAATGGAGTGTATATCCGAGGTGGTACACGGCCGTCATTGAATGGGATGTTGAGCGATATCATGCTGAGGCTCGAAGGCCAATGTATCTTAGATTCCTGAACCTATCTCGCAAGATCGGGGCGCCCTTCTTAGGGCGACATATCTTTAACAACCGGGATGGCAATTGAAACGTTTGGTTTTCACAAATCGAGGCAAAACTCCAGCGATTGCTATGAGCGCATGCCCTGCCATCTGAAGTATGAAGCTACAGCACTCCGGCCAAGTGTTTTGCTGCTTGCATAAAGCCGACCAATGCTACCGTAACTCCAGTGCCTATGGCAAGAAGGCTCCGCAGTATGGGTATGGTCATATTGGCCGCCGCTAAATATCTTTGCTGCGCGTCAGGGCCGTGAGACGCTTGCCGATACGGGGTCGGCATTCTAGGTCGTGAAGGAAGGCGGCTATATGGAGGAGGCAGTCAACGGCAAGTCTGGGTACAGCCATTCATACTGGCCTTGAACCCCCCGCCCTGGGAGCCGACAGCAAACAGCAGTTTGTCTCTCCGCAGAAAATCTTTGCAGCCGCCACCTCCCCTGCCATGCACATTGACCCTGCCTCTGATATGCAATCCACCACTGAGACTGTAAGGCGAATCGACGATACCGACGGCGTGCGCTCCGTAGCCATAGGGTTCGATTAGGTTGCCACAGTATGTTTGTAATATGTTCTTGCGATGTGGGTGGGCGGGCGTACGACCGATCTGGGTAACAAAGACAACGCGTGGGTACGAGTACGGTTACAGCATAGCCAGCAGCGAAGCAGCTCGCTATGAAGAGTTGATTTGTACAGTCATACCTACTGAGTTAGCCCAACCGCCCCCATGTGCAATCAAGTCCTTGTCAGCTCATCCGTTGGAGCTGCAATTTCCAAGGAAGCTCGTTTCCTTCTCGACAAGGCCCCCAAATGCCATACTCTGGAGGCGTACGCTATGCTCTGCCAGGATACGATGCAGGAGGATACCTAGGTACGCGCCGTTACAGTGGACGTCTGGTGTTGGGTGCGATGCGTGAGAAAAGAGCTTCATCGTGGCGGGCCGAAGGCGGAGTTCGCGGAGGCTGGTCGAACTGGCCATATTCGTCGCGGCGACGGGGTCTGCAGGGACTCATATGTCGGCATTTGCGTGTCCATATCGCGCAGCCGGTATGGAACATGAGTACGCAGGGCTGCTCGTACAAGGGTTTGTGTCACATTCGGAGGTTCCTCAAGCCAACCTTGCGCCGACCTGTCGGGAGCCCCGCGACAGGCGTTGCCGAACTGGGACTAGTGTCCGCCAAGACGTCATACCGTACGGACCCGGCATCAATGATGGTGGTCGGTATCGTCGGTGTTTCTCCCAAGGTCAACTCATGGAGTTCGCTTGCATGGCGCGGCTCTCCCAGGAATGCCGAAAGCTCATGCCACTCGTTCCGGGGCGAGACCCTGGCCTAATTGTCCCAGCAATCTCAGCTGAGTGCTTCGGGCATTTGGTGGTGTGGTAATGGTGGTACAACATCACTATTGTTCGTGGTAGTGGAAGCGCAATCATGCTGTCAGAACGCGATGCTCGTCCTATGAACAAGAACCTACAAATGAACGGCCCTTGACCTTTTCTCCAGTGCGTATACTACCTAGGTAGCCCGCTATCCCCTATATCCCAATCGAGTACGACCATGGCGCAGCAGCCACGTGCCAAGCGCATTTGCACCAGGCGCTCGGCGACGACGACGATTACTCCAGACACCAAATCGCAGCCAGCTCTTCTCCGCCTGCCGCGAGAGCTACGCGACAACATCTACGAGTACTATGTCAGTGCGGATGGCGGTTACATCTACGACCCCGATAAGGATTGTCTCAAGCAAGCCGACGGCTCACCTATATCGCTCTCGTTGGCTCGCGTGAACCATCAACTCAGATCTGAGCTAGCAGGCCTTCCTTTCCAGCTCAACGGGATTACATTCACCTCCGCTTTCTCAGAGGCCAACCGAGAGAGTGCAGCGATCCACGAATGTCTCGTCTCCTGGGTTATGTCCGAAAAGCTATTTGTGGTTCAAACCATGCTATCGGAGCTGCTCACTTCCGAAATGGCGCAGACCATCGCGACAGCGTATCCTCGGTTCGCGCCTTTCGTCGATGAGTGGACGCCGGGCTCACATGATGATCACATCAGGCTGAGCGCGATGGAGGGTAGCTTCGGTGAAGCTCGCTCAATTTGGAACGATTTCATCCACTGCGTCTATGTTCAGTTGATAGGACACATCGACTTTGGTTTTAAGGCCTCAGGAGAGGAAGACTACTACTTGGATATTTTTCATGGCGAGGATTTTGACATGCGTCGAGCATTGGCGTTGGGCAGACATCACCCAGATCCGTGGACAATCCTCAACGACATTGAGATGAAGAAGCTGGCGCTAATCAACCGATTCAAGCACAAAGTGCCCTACTATCGTCCGCATATGAGATATGGTTACTCCGCCGCTGCCCTGGCACTCCGCTTTCTCAACTCTCTCCCGCAGCAGACTCGGCAATCTGTTCGTAACGTTACATTGGTGGAAGACCGCGAAACGGTGGCATCTCCGGCTTGCCACGGTCGAGGCTTTATCGCGCTGTGCCAAGAAAACCCGAACCTTCGTATTCGTCGCTTCGCTAATTTGTGGAAATGTGTTTTCTCTGTGGGAAACTATTCCCGGGAAATGTGGATTCCTTACCTCGCTAAGGGACATGGGAGTAGTTCTGTGGGCTATCTTCAGAACGAGCTTCAAGTAGAAGACATCACTCAATCCGTTGGCGAATGGCTGACGGAAGCTTCCATACTCCCTTCCCTAGGGATGCCAGAAGGCTCCTACACGCTTATCCTTGACGGCGGACCAATACCGGAGTACACTTCTGATGTTTTCCAGTTCGTCCACCGAGACGTAGCTTATCAACAAGCGGTAGATATGGCATACGCCAGCGGCGATCTTTATACGCCATCGTGGATTGACCGGCGCTGGTATGGCCTCTACCACTTTGAACAACTCGCTGAGATTGTGGGGAATATATCAAGAAACTCCCAACTCATTCAGTGTAATTTCGATCCTGGCTCGCCGCGCGATCCCGTGCCCATTTTTGAGAGGAATCGCGGGTCCGGCCAGCGCGAGTGGCGTAGAAATTATCACCGAATTCCTTTGGAAATTCAAACTCCGGCTCCGTTACCTCCATGGCATGAACTTCGATATGACAACATTTTGGATGCGGAAGGTCGCGACATATCATTCGAATTTTACTTTCGCTAACACATAACTCATGGGAAGGAATATCATTGTTCACGTAGTCACTCATTAATACATCAATACATTGGAAGTTTGCGAATATGATTGAACTATGTGATCGCGAAACCAGACAAGTCCAAACACGACATCTCTACCAATTACACGCTCTAACGCTTTTAGCGCGCACAGAAAAACTGCATCCCTTCTCTAAACTACACCTCATCCAAACGTAATGCTCATCAAGAGAACATATTCACCCTAACCTTCTTCGCACTCGACTGATCCTCATACTGCAAAGTGTTAGCATCAACATCCTCGTCGTCTTTCGTGTCAAGAAGTCTTACCTGCAAAAATCCCGTAACATCCACCAAAACGGTCCAACAATCCACCAAATCCACAATATCCTGCTGCAGTTCCTCGCCCATGCCCACACCAACATTAACACTCCTCTTGAAGACACTAACCATGCTATGTCTATTGTCTTTCAGGAACTCTCTCGCCTGGAACACCGTTTGATCATTTTGCCTGCCCCGCGCAATGACCGCAGCGTTGATAACACGCAGCACAGCGAGCATGAGCTCGTAGTACTTGCGCAGCGCGTTGGGATCGTCAAATTCAAGGCCGATATCCGGGTCTACGGAGAAGAGCTGCGAGTCGCGGATAGCGGGGAAGAGACCGGCGTTCAGAACATGGGCGGCGCCGAGACGGGACTGGCATACGCGGAGGAGGAGAGCGAGACTGGCGTCGTAGTAGGAAAGGAGGACAGGGACTTGGGGTGCTGCAGCGGCGAAGAGTTCTTCGGGGATGTGCTTGATGTTGTCGACAAGGACGCCGACGAAGTTTAGGGACACGAAGCTGTCGAGGATGTATTTGGAGGATTGGCGTGTTGCGGCTGAGACGAAGGCGTTGAGGAGGAGGAGCGCGGAGACTTTGCAGGTTCCCTGGCCGCTGTAGGCGTCGTCGCAGATTACTTCGAGCATGTTGGTGCCGCAGTTCTTGATGGCGCTGAGGGTGTGGCGGCCGAGGAGGGAGTTGGGCGTTGCTTTGTTGAAGGTGCCGTGGATGTAGCGGAAGCAGATCTGGTAGCAGTATTCCCGTAGTTCGGCGGTGGACACGGGGCTGTATATGCCGATGAGCGCCGCGCGGAAGAGTTGAGAGAGGCGGTCGTTTGCGAAGTCGCCTGTCTTGTCGAATGCGGTTGACTCAAAGTCGACCTTTTGAATGAGAGCCTCTGCTAGGCTGGCGAGTTGGAGAGCCGTGAAGATGTCGGAGGAGTATGACTGCTCAAGCTTGGGTAGGATGACTTGTAGCGTCTGCATGATGAACGAACTGCGCGCGCTGTTCTCGAAATCGCAGCTGTGTACCGCGACCATGACGACTTGAACCCACGACTGTAGAATGTCCTTGTGGTAGCGGAGAAGTTGCGTGCGACGGTTCCAGTCCACGAAGATAGCCATGAGCAATTCGGCTTGCTCAACAAGTTGCTCTTCTTGCTCCTGATCAGTCAGGATGCCCTCTTTCCGCCAGTACTTCATCTTGAGACGGATGACCTGTTCCAAGAGTGGCAAAGAGTAGAGAGTGCAGCCCTCTTTTTCTTCTTGACATGAGGTCAGGTTGACACCTTCGAAGAACTTGTGTTGATCTGGCAGAGCGCGCTCAGGATAGGACAGCTCGATGAAGTCGAATAGATCGAAGATGTTCGGATTCGGCATTGCGTCCTCGCCGGGCCGGATCGTGGTACCGAGAAGGACAGATTGGATCCTAGACTTCATAGTCGGCATGCTCTCTTTCACTGTTAAGCGCAGCTCTCTTGACTCATAGTCGAGGAAAGCAGCGCGTCTTTGAAGGAAGCTCTGGAGGGCGAGTGCTGGTGGTCCTGAGAAGAATGGGGAGTAATCGTTAGGCGTGACCTCGAGCCCTTGCGCAAGTGACATTCCGTCCCAGGGAATATCAAGGGTAATGGGAGTTAGTTGGGGGGCCTCCACAAAGAGCAGCTCGTTGTCACGGAGCTCTTCCATCACAAGCGCGCTCGTCAGCGGCGACCGCCAGAGCTTCTGCAAGACATCCCAGCATCGGGTCTTGAGAGCAGACCGCCAAGCTATGAACTGTTCGCCGTCATTGTCAGGATACTGAACCCCAAGAAGAAGTATGCTGTGGAACAAGGCTTGTCCGTTTGACCAGAGGCTGTTCTCTCCAACGCGGACAGTGTTGGGTCCGCATGAGAAGCCGAGAAGGATATGGGCTATGGTCGGCCGGAGGGACACAGCAGCTAGACAACTGTTCAAGAAGTCCAATACGCGAAGCTTGACAACATATCCGGAAGCATCCTCACCAGCTTCGAGCTCTTCGGCGCTGAACCGCATCAGACCCGAGAGCGACCGACCAATGCGCTCGGCTTCATTGTCCTTCTCCAGTATGCCGACAATCTTGCTGCGCCCTGATCGTTGTCCGAAGCCCGCAGGGGAGACTGCAAGTTTTCGCGAAGAAGCCATCTTCTCTAGCAGTTGAAGAGAAGCGATGGTCAAGGCTTCGTGGCCGGTACCGCAGTAGAGTCCCAGGTCGACAATAACTTGCAAGTTGTTCAAGATCGCATCCTCGAAAGATGCAAGCGACAAGTTCGACACGGGAGAATGCTGGAACGACGTTTGTTGCTTGAGAACTGGCTTGACGATATCCAGGTACGTCGCCTGAAGCTTCATCACGAGATCCATCACCTCAATGCTGAGCATCAGGGATTGGATCAACGGTGAGTCAGATGGAGCAGCGTCGACCTCGGTCACGTCGTGATGCGATGCAACGAAAAGAGCCTTTAGAACCTTGTCGTTGAAGAGCCATTCCATGACGCGTGCAAATGGGTGAAGCGCAACGTACACAGCAAGTGACGTGGGGTCGATGACCGAATCAACAGGTATGCTAGACTTGTTCGCGAACACGACGAGATTCTCATTGAACGTGGAAAGACATGTTACCATGAAGCGCAAGCATGTCCACTGCATGACGCTGCGTTGTAGCGGATCAAGCACGTCCAAAGAACGTTCTGCAAACACCTGCTGCATGACGAAGTCAATGTAGCTTTCAATACCCGGCATCCTGCGCGACGAACCCAGGCCCTCCGGGAATGGTAGACTGTCGTTCAAGCCTTCGTTCTCCGGGTATGGCTCTACGAGCGAGTGAAGGAAACGAACCAGGGCGATGGACTCGTCGTATCCGTCGGCGAGCGTTGGCCACAAGTCATCTCTGGGAGTAGCACCCAAGGCGTTGTTTTGCCTAGATCCAGTGTAGAAGCCATTGACCGTCCACTCATCCAAGAGACTCCACATGGCATCTGCACGAGTGCAGTCCTTGCCCACAAGCAGAGCTGACAGAGCGTCGTAAGCGGCTGCTCGAAGCCCACTCTCAACTTTGTCGGTGCACAGACCAAAGCAGATGCCAGCAAAGGAATACTCTTTAAGATCTAGGATCCACATCCGCGCAGAAGAACTTTGTCGGCAAATGTGTGCAATGAGTCTTAGGTAGCTTTCCAGCATAGTTGCGCTCTCTGGTTCCACGATCTGGTCGATTGGATTCATGGTTTGAGCGTAGACGCCGCTTTGGATTGGCTTCTTTGGCTCGTGGATGTCGTTCTCGAACTCGCGCAGCTCGTTGAAGATGGTCGTGTAGCTGAGCGAACTCGTCCGTCGGATCTTTCCTGAAGCGGATGCCCCCTCTTCTAGCAGGAAGCGATGCGCCGCTTCGGCATTTGCCTCTCCAGAACCAATGGCCCGTAACATCTCGCAGAACATGGCTATCCGGGGTGTGGGTTGGCGCTTGGCTGCCCATTGCAGGAATCCGTAGAGATTGCTCTCTTTGTCGCTCCAGAAGTCTTCCGCTGCGTCTGGGAACCCGTCGAAAGCATACGCGACAATGACCATGAACCGTTCGAGATGTAGCGGGTACTCTCCAGTTGAGCGTTGGAAATGAAGTTGTAATTGTCGTCGCTGGTCGTCCTCCTCGGCTTTTAGTTTGCGTAGAGTGTCTGGCATGTGAGTAATGAATGAGTCCACGAACGTCTGTAATTGCTCCATGAGAAGCTCCTTGAAGAAGTCCTCAGGCTGCGGCGAGTCTCTGCTCAGGACCGCGGTGTCCTGCAACAGCGTAGATAACATGCTAGTCTTCTGAGGGTCGTACCAGCGCGTGGGGCGCACATCCTGACTGACCGATAGCATGAAATGGAATGCGCCGTCGCCGAGTGCTTTCAGGAAGATTTCAGATCGGGTGTTGGCCTCCTCCTCAAAGTTGATGCCCTGCAATGCAGCGTCTTGCGTGTTGGGGTCCATGTACCGCCCACTGTACTCCGCCAACCACCACGTCAATGTCGCCGAATGCAGATTCCTCAGCGCCCAGTTGTCGTTTTCCCTTCCCGCCATGAGCGAGTCGTGAAGAGCGCGCGCTTCCCTCAGCATGACGTTGTTACCCTCGGATGCGACCCAAGATGTGAGGCGCAGGAGTATCGGGACGTAGTGAATGGTAATGAGGTCGTGTCGGTCGAGGGACTTGGCGCGGGTGAGTAAAGCATTGTAGTTGTCGAGATTGACGTATCCGGGCTTGATCATATGCGTGCATATCGCGGCTAGGTTCTCGTGCTGCCGTGTGAGACTCTGGCGCTGGTAATCCATTATCTCGACGAAGCCAGGGAGGGGCACTTGTCCAACGACCTGAGTGCTCTGGACACGCTCCGCAACGGACTGCAGCCACTTCTCGACGGCCTCCATGCTGGTCAAGCACTTGGTCCAGAAGCCGTATGCGTTGGACAGGTTGGTTGTGCCATGTACTCCGACTATCATCTGGGCAGCCTCCTGCAGAACAGGCAGGCCTTCCACTTCCGAGTCGCCATTGTCCAGCGCAGTCTTCATCAGAATGCGCACGCAGAGCAGAACATATTCGCGGCGTCGGTGGAAGCGGATCACGGCGGTCTGGAGCTGGGGTCGGTCGAGCTCCTGGGCTTCGCTCTCGGCGCCCAGAAAGAGGGCAGCGGCGTCGAGCTCGTCGAGATTGAGGGCGTCGGCGAGTTCGAGCGCCTTCTGCTTGAAGTCGTCGTTGACCTCATACTCGTTGTCGTCGATCCTGATCTTGCCTGGCGCTGTTAGCACCTTCCTTGTCTACACCTCTGTTTATGTAATACCAGAGCTTAGCGCCTGCCTGCTCGCATCGTTCTTCGGCTTCTTGTCCAATAGCGTCTTCAGCTCTTCCAGATGCGCCTCTAGGTTCAGCAGCAGTCGCTCCAGGACTGGCAGCTGCAGGTCGATGTGCGCGCACAAGTCGCGGTGTAGGCCCTGGAGGGCGGCGAGGCTGTCTTCTTCAGCCATGGGAGATTCGTGAGGTCGTCGTGCGCATTATGCGCCGGGGGAGTGGCGGCGGGTGGGCGGTCGTGTTTCGTGTGTTTGGGTGTTGTTTTCTCAACAATGGAGCGAGAGCTTGCTTGCTTGACTTTCGCAGAACGCGAAGGCGCACGGACATAAACCCTGCGACGCGCTTTCCCGTCACGACTCACCTCCGCCATAACTCCGCAACCGTAGGACCTACACCTACTCCATGTAAAAGCGTTCCGCCTCCATATTCGTCGCGTAGTTGCCGCGACATGTTACGCGTATAAGTATTTGGCCATGGGGGCGACCAACATCCAGGATGCAAAGCGTAAGTCCTTGGAGGAACCACACGATGAAGGCGGGAGGTAGTCGCGACCTGTTGCGTTCACATCTGCTAACTCAGAACCTACTGAGCACCTCCAGACTGCAGCGCACTCGCTAGCCAACCTGGAGAAGAACCGAACACCCTGGATCATACATCGACGTTAGGTCACCTACTTTGCATGTTCTTATGTCGATGTAGGCTTCAGGGTGTTCGGCTTTTTGTCACAATTTATACAAATGAACTTCGCATAGGCCGTATACTAACACTTGACAGTCCTGATCGAGTCCTCACGGGTAGTCGACCGAACGAGCGGTCTCAAAGACCTCATCCACATCCTCAAGCACAATCGCGGGAAGCCTAGTCTGGAGGCTCTTGGGAACAAATCATACCTGGCGCTATGCGAGACGCTTTTCCAGTGCCTACACGATGGGCGCACCGCCTTCTTCCACGGTAAGACCAAGGCGACGAAGGCTGGTTCTACTGCCGCCCTCCTTCCCCTCTCGGCATCGGCCCTGCGTCACGTCATTGCCTCGGGCGTGCGGACCATCAAGAGCTCTACGGTCGAGATGATAATAGACACGATAATTGAGGTGCTTCCTGCGACGACTGGTCTCGTTGAGCCGCTTCTGGAAGCCCTCCCAAAAACGCTGCGATCCCTCTTAGAGTACCAGCCCCACGTTGAGCGCCTGTCAAAGGAGTGCTGGGATGCTGCCGTCGATTTCTGCATCGAAACTCTGGCCGGCTTCTTCCAAGAGTCGCCCGCCGAAGGTGAGCCACAGAACAGCTGGAGCACTAATGTTTCAAGCCGCGCCCGCACTCCCCTTGAAGCCGACTTCACGTCCTCTAGAGCCTCTCCACGCTTGCAAGTGACCAAGACCAAGTCAACCCCTCCAGAGCACGTTCGCGCAACAGAAGACTTCGTCCATTGCCTGCATCATCTCGTCAAGGCTTCCAATGCGCCATTGCTAGACAAGGCTGACGACGTTCTGGCTGTCTTACTAAAGTTCTTGCAACAGAGGACTACCCGTGGAAGTACGGGCGTGGCTGCCCTGGCCGCTGTCAACGCGGTCCTCGCACGCATCACGTTGCAATCTGTCGAGTTGACCAAGCGTACGGTGCAAACATTGCTCCCGCTCCTCAAGCTTATGTGGTCCGAGGCTATCCTACGGGATGAGATTATGATCAGTCTGATATACACTGAGGCACACATTGCGAGCCTTCTCACTGACCCAGATGACGAAACCACCAGCTCTGACCTGGAAGGCCTCGTTGAGACCATGTATGGCGACTACCGACGCAGGCAAGAAACTACCGCGCACCAATACCTTGAAGAGGATCATCTCTGTTTTCGACACTTGGGGCCTGCTCGCAATGAGACTCATCCCCTGAACACATGTGCATTCTCCATGGAGACTGAACATCAGCGATATGAAGGATTATGGTCTACAGTATCCACCATTGCGCGGTTTTCATTTATGCTTGATGAGCGAAGGATGTCCATCGCCCACGACCGTAGCGACAGCGAAGAAAGCTTTAGCAAACGCGTTCGCATTACTCAATTATTCCCTGAATATCTTCGTCATGTGTCTGAGCCCAGGTCGAATGCCAAGCGAGCAGCTCTACAGGTCGTTTCGTTCATGGTTCAGGAAGGACCATTTGACGAGGAGGAACTTCAATCGCTGTTGGAGAAACTCACTTCATGCATCTCAGATGAGAACCCAGTACATTCGGTGTGGGCAATGATAGGTTTGGCAGGGTAGGCATATCATGATATTATACACAGCGGACGTAGCTGACGTTTGTGCAGAGCCGCGCTTCAACAATCAGCATCCCACTCGACCCTTCTTCCCTATTGGATCTCTGCATGGCAAAGCGCATCTCGTGCAGTCACTTCCGTATCCATATCCCGCGCGGCATGTCATCTCATGGATGTTCTCCTACGACTGAACATCGTTCCCTTCTCAGCAGTGTCTGAGACTGTCCAGTCTCTGCTATTGTCGATAGAACTAAGCGGACCGGCTTTACTCACGGAGAGCAGCTCATCGCTACTCACCACCATTCTTCAGGAGCGAATCAAAGAAAACCCGACACATTTCAGTTCGACAGCTGAGCGGATCCTTAACTGGCTCCTCACCAAATGGACTCCCAGTAAGCGCTATCAAGCTTTTCCTGAAGCTGAATTGACATCATACAGGTCTATGGTCTGAACGGACATACTCGGCGCTGAATGCTCACCACTGCAACGCTCGTGATGTACTGCGCGTACTCTACATGTGCCTGGACGCACCCTACAGCCCGCCGGAGCCGGCCTCTTATCTGGTACTTGGACCTATCGGGCAAGCTCGAACGCAAATGGCGCGTTACAAAGACCTCGCACATTATCTTCTGCTTCTCCGACCTGTGAAAGATTTTGTAGCCAAGATCGAACAAGGACCGCGTCTCTCCTCCGATGAACCCACGGGCGAACTCTCCTCCACGCAACTTGGAAGCAGGATTCTTGATTTCTGCGTATCCGAGATCGAACGAGCCCAGCACCGTTGGAAGGATATGGCTACATCAAACATACAAGGCATTACTTCAGATATGATGCGCATCGTCACAAATCTGTGCATCGTCGCGCCAGCTGTTGCAGCTCTGAGCGACCCTGACGACCGCCGTGTGCGTACTCTCCGATTGTCCGCAGCTGCCCTGATCGAGTCTTTTGCCGCTACATTGGCTAAGCCTCAGATGGAACAATACAAAGTTGATGCAGTCCTCGAGACCTGTGCAAAAGGTTTTCCTGATATCAGCTCTTCAAAGCGAGTGAGCTCCGGCGTATACGAGTTGATAGGCATCGACCAGCTGGCTCAGCATTTACCCCGGGCTCTCCAGCAACGCAAAGAGGTCAAGCAATCGTTCTACGCGGATGAGGATGACTTCATGGACGTGGACGACGAGCCTGACTCACAGATGACTGCTGGAGCAACGGTTCCCGATAATGATGTACCTCGACACGATGTGCAGGCAGAAACCGATCTATCTGCTCTGCGTGCATGTTGTCTAGCACACTTGCAGTTTGTTTCGTCTCTGGCCAAGCGTACTGAGTTAGAGCCTGGAGCAGTGCCCCCGGATTTCGTCGATTACCTCGTCTCTCTCTCGGAGAACGACCTTATACGTTCGCGTCAATTTCTTCGTTCGGTATGGAACAGCAACCTGAAGATATCCAGGAACGACTGCCTCAATCTCCTCGAACGGTTCAGCGAAGCTCTTATCGATCCTCGTGCTCGTGAATACAACACCTCCGAAGTCGCCAACGGTATGCTTGTCGAGGTTCTGATTGGAACCACACTTGTTTGGCTACCTGATGCAACCGATCGCGAGGCTCAAGATCTGTACGACAACGTAGAGGCCCTGTATGTCTACTACGTCAAAGAGATGGAGAAATCGAAAGGAGGAGTCAGGCGTTCAGCAAACTTGCAGACAACGATAGCAACCTTCCTACATGGCCTGCTGAAGCATCATCCCGATTTTGCGCAAAATCGCAAGGTTCCATCAGTACGGACTAGCCTTTTCGAGCTGCTGTCAACAGGCGAAATGACTGTCAAATATCACATCGCGGAGCACTTGCCAAGAATGTTCGAAGATTTCGTTCTCTCCGAACACGACAAGATTTTGCAGGATGTCGATAGCAGCTTGCCTGGAGACGACGAAGGTCTTGAGGGCATAGCGGTTCGTTTGCTCGTCCTATCGCGACTGGCATCCAAGTGGCATACGCTGCTGCGTCACAGCGTATATAGAATCTTCGCCACGGCAGGAACTATCGCAGGCGCTACCTACCATGCCGAACGATGCATCTTGAACGTGGCGCAGTCAAGAGGTCTCGGTGATTCAAAAAGCCTTTTCCGGCTTTTTGCACCACAAGTCATCTTCACCTGGCTCGACCGTGGCCAAAAAGTCGGCCGTATCCCATTTTCCATCTTCGGTTACGCGTCGCTTTCCGACCTGCTTCGTGACATCGAAGCCGAGGTGGTGGGTCAAGCCATAATGTTTGGGCGCAAAGATGAGGTGGAGTTTCTGGCTGACCATTTAGACATGTCAGCACAAGAGATGCTGTCGAGAAATATCGGCAAAGCAGCCGCATATACGATTGCATGGGACACTTGCAGAGGCTCCGCCCGTAACAAAGCCGACTCCAGCTTCGGCAACTTGCTGAAGGACATGGTTGGTAGCGACAAGTACTATGGCCTGGTGCAGAAGCATTTCCCTCAGGTGTTGGGCCACATGTTCCAAACCATCGATCACGAGGAACGTTTACCCAAGTCGCTGGAGAAGAAACCAGCTTTCAACCCCGCCGCTGCAGTTCTAGCCGAGATTGCCGAGATCGGCCAATCTGCACAAGGCCTTAACATAGGTATCGAGCCTTCGTTCTCCGCCTTCTATCTGCCTGATCAGCTGGAACGCTTGTGTAGGCGGACGGGCGATAGACCGGCTGGCTTCTGGTCACCGAGCACATATACATATGTGATGCGCTCCCTGCTCGACCGTATCCACCCTGCTCTCGGCTCGCTGTATGCTCGGTCAATGATCAGGAAGATTCGAGTTATAGTTGCGCTGGCTGGACCTGTAGCACATGAGGGGTACCCACTGCAAATGACGCTGCAGTCTTTGCGCCCTTTCCTCACCGACATGCAATGTG